GGTGACCACCAGTGACAGGACCAGAGGCAACAGGCACAAACTGAAACACAGGAGGTTCCCCCTGAACATCGGGAAATGCTTTTTTACTCTGAGGGTGACCAAGCACTAGCATGAGTTGCCCAGGGAGGTTGTGGAGTCTCCCTCCTTGGAGATACTCAAAAGCCGTCTGGACATGGTCCTGGGCAACTGGCTCTAGATGGCCCTGTTTGAACAGGAGAGTTGGACCAGATGACCTCCAGAGGTCCCTTCCAACCTCAACCACTCTGTGATTCTGCAAATATTAAAACATTAGAATTGGTACAAACATTTGCACTTTATGCAAGACACTAAATGTCTTCAAGGGAAGGGAATAGTCCTGTTTTGCTATCCCTTGCAGTGACATGTAATGCAAATCCCTTCTCAGTTACTCAGCAAGATCCTTTTAATTCCCTAATAGCTCCCCTTTACCCTCTTGGTAGTCTGCCAGACTTGCTAAGTCTTCCTGTTTCTCACTTATGCTTGTGAGAACTTCTTTTAGCTATTTGCCTTCATAATTTCCTTTGCGCATACTGCCTGATGTAGTTTAAGCTATTGCAACCCCTGTGCCAGGTGTCAACAGCAGAAGCAGAGGAGGAGTTTACTCTGCCTATCTGGGGGGCCAAGTTTTCTGCTTCCAAGAATTTTCTAATATACATATTTAAAAAATCACAAGGCAGCAGCCTGTGCCCCTTTTAAAGAGTCTGGCTGTTCACTTCAGGGTCCCTCCAAAGAAATGATTTAACTGACAAAGAGTAAAAAACAACAGGCCTCTGCACCCTTTCAAAGACAAAAATGTAAGGGCTGAGTGCTGACTTGTTTAGCCTTGCCAAAGGAAGACTGAGGGACACAAGGGGGGTCAGATATCTTGCTATAAATACCTCAGGGAGAAAACAGTTATTCATGCTAAGAGACAATGCTGGCATAAGAACAACTGCATATAAACTAGCTGTGAATACATTTAGGATGAATACTGAAAGCAGATTTTCATCCACTGGAGCAGAGAGACCCCAGAGCAGCCTTCAAAGAGAAGCAATAGCAGCACACATATGCACAATGTCATCCAAGTTCAAAAACGAGTTTAACAGAAGACGGGACTCTGACACAGAAGATCCATTTTACTGTTGCATTCTTGTCATCTGTTCCACATTATCATTCATTCCAATAAAAGATGAATACTTTTCACTAATAACTTTGTCGCGTGTTACACCTATGCATAAAACCTCACAATGGCCTGCAGTGATGAATGACAGTCAAGCACAACTGAATGAAAAATTCCTGCAGCCTACACCTCATAGAAAAGGCATCAGCATGACATACCAGAGTTTATCAGTCTCAGAAATAATCCTGATAAAGCATATATATAAATTCAACCTCCAATGTGCAGCTGACACAGATTTTTGTACTCCGAGAGCTATTTCAGCTAGGGGTTAGATTTCTCAGCCCCCTTATGCTCCTCTGGAAGTTTTTCCAATGTAGTCACTGTGGAGGCACTGTTAAATGGGTACAGACATCTCAGAAGGTGACATCATATATTCTTCCTTCTTACACTGAAATATGCAACGCAGGCAAAAGGCACTTTTATAGCATTATAACCACAAATGAACTAGGAAAATCACATGCTTCAACTAGACTTGAACCACTAACACAGACTCATGTGAAGTCAAGTCCTTGAAAGAAATCTTTAAGAAACAAAACTAAACCCGTTTCAGCACGCAACCTATTCTTACTTCAACAAGGTTTTGCTCGTTAACTGGTTTTGAATGCAAGAAGGTAACTTCCTTTCAGAACAGACTGCCCTGTAACATTGTGTTGTGAAATTTCACATTCGTAATTTTTATTATAATCTGAATAGAAGCGATATCTGAAGAGCAGAGAAAATGACTATACAAAGAATTTATAGAACATTCATTTACATGCTGGAGACCTTTTGATGCTTCTTTACAGTTTCAAGAAAAAGGCAAAAATTTTCACTAGTAGGTAAATCCAAGAAGGAAACATTAAATTTTTAATGATACTGTTGGGTACATGGAAACCATTTAATTAAAAACATGGCTTTTAGCATTTTTGTAGTTTAACACTGTATGATTATAGTAGTACATTTACTAAGCAGGTTAATAGGAGTCTGGCTAAATACATGTGTCAACTTGCTGCCGTTAGTTATGAAACTGCATATACAAATCTACCAAAAACCCTGAAAGAAAGTGCTGTATTAACTAGTCTTGTATTTGCCATGAACATGTTTCGTGAGTATCTTTCTACATACATTACACAATGGTACATACCGAACTATTTTGCTTTGTGCATTTTTCATTTCATTAAAAAGCAGAAGCACGTGGCAATATACCATCCAAAGGAATGCATAATAGAAAACCTCGCTTAGAAACAGGGCAAATTCCTTTTTTCCCACTTAACAAGCAGAGCTAAACTCCTGGGAAACACCACTAGGAGTGTCAGTGTTCAATTCTTCATGCTCTTGAATTCAGCAGGCCTTGAGAAGGCACAAGGAATAAAAAATAAGGCCCTGAATAGAAGTTATAAGTGGGAAAAAAAAGACACTTCATTTTTCATCCCAAAGGCCAACACTTGGTGTCTAACAAGACACGCTAAAATTTAAGTATCATCTACAGAAGTGAAAAAATAGAGTAAAAAATTCCTCCTCATTTCAATGCTCACAACACATCAGATTTAAATCTGAGACTTAAATCTAATTGAGATGTCAGCTGAAGAAATTCACTGGGCTCCAAATGGCTGACTAGATTAGGCAACTGGGTTCTTGGTGCACCAAAAGACTATTAAAAGGAAACTTGTCCTCACATGTTTCAAAAAGATCAAAGCTCCTAAAAGTAAGAACTGCATTCTTTTTTGGATGGTACATAAACACCATTGAAGTAGTATACCTCTGTGTCAGAAGAACAGAATTATTTGGTACGATTTGGCACTTGCCTTTGTTGCTTCAACAGTAGCTACTACACTTTGGATTGCTTCACCCTTCTACACACATCCAATGCCCACTGCTACTAATACACCACTTCCTGGTCCAAATACATTGAACTTCAAATCTTTCTTCTCTCTCCCTCTGTTCTGCACCCCCCTTCCTTTTAAAAAGTATATTCATACAAAATTCAGTTACACAAACAATTTGGTAACACTTTGGCTGTGGTCACTGAATAAGGTTTCCATGGTCCTAATACTTTAGGAAATAGGAAGAGCACTGTTAATAAAAAACAGACCATAATTTATACAGGACAAACATAGTTCAAATTGGTGGAACCTTCTTACCATATAGCCCAACCAGAGTTCCCCATTCCATTTAACCATTATTTAGTAAAAGTGGATAAACGTGTTAAATCCTCCAAGTGGGTACAGTTACTAGTTCATCCAGTGCCTCATACATCACCATGCCAAATTCAGCATGTCATTTTATTCCTCAGGTTATTAATATAATGTTAACAGCCACACATCAAAGAAACAGAGGCAACAAAACTTTTCAGCACTGCCACGCTGAAGCTGCTTTATTACCATCAGTTCTGATATGGGGCTCTAGTACTGCTCTTTTTGGAGTGAATGGGAATTACACAATAGAACTCAGCAGCTTACTCTCCTCATGAAGCTTTCCACTGTAACCTACTGAATCAATTTTCTGTAAAGCTAACTAGCACTTTGTTATGCATTTAAAATACCAATGTGTTTAGAAAGATACAGAGATATGTACAAGTGTGATGGTTGCAAAAATCACGACATAAATGCTCTCAAGCAATGGGACAGAGTAACAAAATAATTTCCATTCCCTTTTGGATTTCCTGACTCAAGGAATGATTCAAACAACATTATAAACTAAAACCAGTTCCTACAAATTGAAAAAAAAAACCACAGTTCCTACAAATTGAAAAAAAAAAACCAAAACCAAAAAAACCCCAAAACTCCAATAAAAAGGGGGCCAAAAAATCCAGAAATATAATTATGTATTAGGTAGGGGAACAAATGTTAATACCAGAACAGTATTGCAGAGACAGGAAATGGGAAGTATCTTGTCACTGTAAGACAGAAGTCAAAATATGAGACACTATTGCCCACATCAAGGCCCAGGCTATAAATACTTTTACTTATGCAAAATAGCACTAAAGAGGCAAAGCTCAACAATGGTCTAGTTTAAGAATATACATATGACATATCAAGATCTGAGATCTACTATAAATAATCTGGCACAGGTGAAAATATATAAATTATAAAATTCTCTTCTTTGCTTTTCCCTCATTTTTATCCTGTAATTATTAAAATACAGAAGCTTCCCTGCTTAGTTCTCTGTATAAAAAAATAATACAAAAAACCCAATTACAGAATAGAATTCCACGCAACCTTTTTTTTGTTCTGCCACCTCTCCCCTATGTAAAATTTTTCAAACTAAACCAGCCCAGCCTTCTTAATACTAAATACATAGCAATCTCCCTGAATATTCCACATTGCTGTTCCTTTCTTATCAGAAATCAACTTGCACAAACCTTCTCTTCACATACATCTTCCCCGTTCTCCATTCAGTTCCCATCACTGATCACATAAAGATGAAGGGAAGAGCAAATAGTCTTCCTCAGACCATCATTCTCTTAAGAGCGTGTTTGCAAGGCCTATAGCTACCATTGATGCAACTATGGCAAGTGTCTTTGTGGAGATTATACAAAACATTTTCTGCACAAAAAAGTAGCACAGCCTAGTGAGTATTTCTGCTCCAATAAATGATGAGAAACAGCATGTGAAAATGTATTAGAAACCCTTCAGGAGGAGTTTTTCATTTATGCTTCATTCAGGTACAGGCTACATGGGTTTGGGTGGCACCCAGCTGCTTTTGTTTTGTCCTTTGATATAAAAAACAAAGAAATAATGCTTTGTTAAGTCAGAGGCATCTTCAAAGAAAAGGCTGAACTCTTGCAAACACAGTGCAGCTAGACTGTCCTCTGCCTTCCTTCTTGGGAATGACAAGGTTCAGACATTGCTGCTGAATAGGCTTTTTCCCTCTCACAGTGCTTTCCTTCAGTGAAGAGCTCTGAGTCAAGGATGGAAAGGCATCAGATCTTCTTCTGGGATCCGATCATGACCTTTGATACAAAGTTCACAATGGCGCTGGCAGGTTGCTCTGGATCATGCTCTGCAAACAGGTGGCATACGTTGTCTGTGGCACTGCCTTGCTTCCTGGCAACGAACCCAAATACTCTGCAAGGGCAACAATCACAGTGTATCAGAGGACAGACAGGCATTGCCTCATTTCGTAAAGCAAAAAACAAAAGCACAAGTCAGACTTCATCTGTTCTGATGGACAAGGTCCTGTGTGACTTCTAAACACAGTGATCCAGATGCACCAGCCAATTCAGGAGCTCCTGGGTGGCTCAGGATGGCCAGAATCAGGGAAGGAGACTGTCCCCTTCCTTCTACTCTGTCTATATTGCATCCTGTACAGTTTGTTGTCAGAGACATGCTGGTGACCCTGGGGATATATTTAATCTGATTCAATACTGCTGTTCTCTTACCTACCTTGGCGTGTGTGTGTTGTAGTGTGTCAGAAATTGCCTAAAGAGAGGCTTTGAGGGCCACACATCTCAGTGGACAGAGTGCTGAAATAGCACTTAAGCCACCTATTTCTGTTCCTTTCCAGAAACCAGTGCCTGAGCTCCCTCTGTTTAGGTTTTTTCTTTTGGTAGAAGGGGGACAATGATGTTTGTCTTCAACAGAAAACACTTTGCAACCCACCGGTAATTATATATTTATGCCACACGCTAGTATTACTAGGAGTGTTTTCATCTATGTACCGTGTGTGGGATTTTATTTTTTTTTAAAGCTATCAGTCTGAGACAAGTAAGCTTGTGTTAGTTGTTGCTGAACAAGTGGAACACAAAACTGAGTAGCAAATGGCTCTGTTTTCATTTTTGAAACTTTAGTCAAATCACAGACCTGCGACCTACATAAACAACGCTAGCTCTGCCTCCAGACATCCCATCACATAATTAGGCCCTGACTTGCAGAGGTGCAGATGAAGTAACTAAAGTCCAATTACAGTAGGCAGAGAGACTTTTGTCCCTGAACAGCTGCTTTCCCTTCTACATCTCTAGCAAAAATAATTTAGAACACTAAGAAACTGATCACTGTAGTGATATTCCTAAAACATTTAGTTAAAAGAGGCTCAGACAGGTGTCCACTTACTTTGCAGAAAGGCCATCTTTCATCCATCTTGTTGTCCATTAAGAAAGCAGTAAAAAAAAAAAAAAGGAATGGAGAAATACAAATGAAACCTATGTTAGTCTTTTTTTATAGATCAACAATACAAACAACATATTAGAAATACTGTTTGTCTTCCTTACTTTCTGTCCTGTGGATCCAAAGCACAGAAAATAACAGTGTTGACTGGATAATGTCGCCGAAAAAAGAGTCTGGACAGGAAGAAATAAAACCAGTTTTAGGAATCATTAAGATGCTTAAAATTTTAAACAATAAACAGATCTGAAAAATAAATTATATTTACTCTAAATGTAATAATGATGATATATTCTTTTTGCTATCTCTGAGTGACTTTGAAAGCCACCTGAACTGCTCCAACCAAATAAATCCATATTTAGAATAGTAACGTCAAGTTTTTGAACCAAAAGAAAACTGACCGTCAAGCTAAGAAAAAGAACTAGAAGTATGAAATTTATTTTTTCTAAGAACTGGCCGTTTAGATACTACGTCAGTGGGAAATGCAACTTCTTGGAACTTGTGAACAATTTTATTGTAGTAAGTTTCAAAATATAAACGCTCCTAGGCATTATAATTTGAGGTTTTGTCCTTGATCTGCTACAAATGCTTGCAGACCCCATGGAATTAAGAAGTCTGGCACCTTTTTTTTCTTTAACCTATAATGAATTCCTGTTGTCCCTCCTTATGTTGTTATTGTCAGTTTTCAAATCTAAAGACTTTGTGGTAGCCTTAATAGCATTCACTACAAAGTAAATATAAATTAACTTTTCATCATAGTATTTTACAGGCTATCTAAAGCACCATTTCAAATACTGGAGATACACAGTGTCTGCTTAGGCCAACTCTGTTCAGTGATAGTGGTGAAAGATACCACGAAGATAAATTATTTAACTGAACAGGTTGAATATCAAATGCTGGCAGAGCCATTACTTTCCCTGTTTATAAGAAATAACAAAAATGAAAAAAATGCCATAGCAAAGTGACCTCCCAGAGGTAAAAGCTGCCATGTGGAAGTAATGTTCATAGCTTAAAACATTCATTCTCCAGTATTGCAGACAGTGGACAGAGTCACTGTCATTCTTTAGACAATCCTATTATCCTCTGAGACAGAGACTGCAGAGACTAGGAAAATCAAATCAACAGCAGCCAACACTTGTTGGGGACAAAGCTCGATATTCTCTACCCATCCCTCTTTTGCTTACTTTCTTTGATTATCTGTCAATGTGATTCCCTGCGCAGACACCTTGAAATGGACAACAGTTGAGATGGGAGAAGGATCTTGCATCAGTGTCAGGCTCAAGGCTTTCTGTACTGCCTGGTAGCCTGTGAGGGACTCCATCTCCACTGAATTCAGGTACCAAACGTTACATGCTGTAATGAAAGAGGTGAAAGACTTTGAGACATCATTACCCAAGAGCAAGCAAACGGGTATCTTCTGACCAAACCAAACATAGATTTTCCACCTTCCCTTCCACCACAGGAAAGGCTGGCAGCAAACTATCAAACCTCTTACATGTGCCTTACCTTGTCCCACTGTTGCTTCACAGTTTAAGACTATAATTTTGGAGGTCATAGGCCTTCTGCTGTCCCTTTGTTTTTAATAACTTTATATTTAAGCCAATGACTGTATTTATTTAAGATTTTGTATTGATTTAAGATGATGAACAGCAAGTTCAATGAGGCCTTCCTCGCTGAACAGCTTTCTGTCATGTCTATCCAAAATTGTATGTAACATTCCAAACCACAAGCTCTCCTCTTCTCACATCATTACTGGGTATGTTTGGTACAGATCTAAAGCTCTTCATTATCCTGTGAGCCTTTCCCACCACAGGAAGCTTGCCTTGTTTCACAGTCACACTCTGCACCACTTCCGAGACCAACATGAAGGGTTTGCCTTCCTGATCTGCCAGATATTGCACTGGTGTCAACAGACTGTGTTCAGGTTTTGTTTCTAAATTAAATAGCCAAGCATTTTGTCTAGATTGCTCTCAGTGTCACAGTTCAAAAGCAGTCATCAAATACAGTAGATTACTTCTATAGCACAAAAAATAATAAATGGAAGCTTTTTCTAAGTGTTGGATGGTGCAAAAATGTCAGCTTAAAAAGGAGATTACAGGAAAGGAAAGGTAGTGAGAAAGGCTGAAGGAGTTCTCATTTAAGAACATCATGCATGGTCTGATGGGGTATCAAATGACAGCAATCCCACAGAAACCATACTCAAGGCTAGAACAAAAGGAAGACATCTGTGTCTTTCATGCAATGCAGCTGCCCTGCAATGTTGCTGGTCTCGTCTTCCACAGGTGGCATTTTGTAGTCATGTCCCTGCTACCACCAACAGCTACACAATGTGGCCATTTCGAATAATCCCTGCTTGTTTTAGACTGGGAATGTGCTTTGTTCAGAATGCTTAGTCCCTTGACTGTATTAGTGGAAACAGATATAAAGAACTGGGATTTATTTGGGGCAGAAAATTTTGCTGCCAAACAGGGAGGTTAATAAAGCAACACCTGATCTAGGGAAAAGCCACTTATCTGTACAGTTTCTAGTCTTCAATTGTCACTTTCCAGGAAGCAAAGGATTTCTGGTCAGCTTCTGCATTTAGATAATGACTGGAAATGCTCATTAGGTTTTTCAGGCAGCTATAAAAAAAGATCATTCTAGGAAAACACATCTTCATTTTTTTGCTTGTGGAGTGGGAGAAGGGTGGGGTAAAAAGTAGGGCAGGGAAAAAGTGCATCTGCTTTGACTAAACTGCGGGTGCTCACACAAGCTCAGATTGTTGGAAAAGAAACAATTTACGTGTTTCAGGTGCGCACTTCCGCGTTGAACTCCACAACTTGAATGTCTCTATGACTGGAGAGGCACCTCCAGAACATGGAAAAATCAGTGGAAAATGATGTATCAAGGAAAAAAAACCTCTGAGAATCTCTCCTAGAATTGATCTATTCAGGTTCCAAACCCTCGTTTAGAAACAAAAACAACAACAAAAAACCAGGGAAAAACCAAATGTACTAAGTTCCCCAAATGATCCATGATGTGATGTCCCCCATAAGGAGTTATCTGACTACTGCCCCAATTGAAGTTAAGTATTATTTCTTTTTCTTTGAAAAGCATTGCCCGAGCAAGGAGAAACCAACCTTTCTCAAGACAACACACGCCCCCTTCACTGGGTTTTCAAGAGGGAAAGTTCTACAAAAATTCATTCTCCTTGTTTTTTTCCGTTGGCCACAACCAACACCACCAGCACTAGCAGACAGGAAGGCCAACACGTGCTCACTCCTGGCACAGCCTTGCAAAGGCTTGCCATTGCCTCAGCCACACATTCCTGCTTGATTACAGCACTCGAAGTGGTACTTCAAATTTTTAAGTCAAAGCAGATTGCTGCACAACCAAGAAGCAACACTCACTCTCCAGAGCTGCTCAGCTTGGCAACTTGCCCCCTCAGAAGTGCCCTAAAATGGGTGAGGGCAATGAGACAGCATTCTTATAAAGGCATGCTTGGCCACAACACTTTTGCTTGTGGCTCCAGTGGTAGGCTAAACTCAAAGGACAGTGGCACACGGTGTATTCTCCTGCTCTAATGGGACTAATCAGGTGGACAGATAGATCCTGGGGAGAATTCATAGCAGCCTGAAAACCAGAGACCACGGGAGGGTATGGACAGGATCCCCTGGGCATGCTCACTGTACAGGGGAATAACACAGTGGCTGCATTTCTACTAAGGACAGCCTTAAGATTACACAGGGGTACTCAGAGCACCGTGTCCAATAATGGTGGGTTAGGATGCCACCACACTTTTTCAGACAGGGTATTTCACTAGTTGTCTCTGGGCCAGCTGCACACAAATGATGAGAAGCAAAGCACGTCTCTACACAGCTGCTGCAAATGCCTCTATATGAGAGCAATACACATGGTTCCAATGCATAGCATCACATCATTTGGAAGTAATCCTGTCAGGGTTCTTCTGTCACATCAATTAGCTCACAGTAAGACAACTTAATTTGGGTGCTGCAGTATGCATGAGAATCCATAAAACAGCATCCAATGGAAAAGACACTGGACATTTCCTAATAACATGCATCATCAAGTGAAGCACAGGACAATGTATTTTAGTATTTTTTTTTCAGCTTGATGGGACAGTAAGCATTTCCCAGTAGTATTGTTGACCCCTATGCTGAGAATTTAACCCTACTGAACAATTTCCTTAGTTGCCTTTTGCAGACCTCAGACGCAGTTCATGAACCTCTGCAACCACAGGTTGAAAATATCTTCTCTAAGTTCATCAGTTAAGAAAGCAATGTCACCACTTAAAAATTGCTGTGCTTGAACCAACCTATGTGTACCTCATATTCTCATGGGAGACACGAATGGCAAGCAAACACAGGGTTGCAGAACTTAGGAGCTGGTTGCAGAAAACAGGAAGAACTTGGTACATGTCTTTACAGTGCCCTTTACACTTTTACACAGCACTCTAAATTTAATTGCTCCCTTAAAACATCCTTCAGTCCAGTCTAAGCTTCAGCTTCTCCCAGCCTGTAAGATACAAAATTTGGTGACAGTCAAAGGCAAAGAAAAAGTTCAACAGACCTGCACCCTGTTTGAGAAGCTCCGCTGCTGAGTTTGCAGCAGTTTGTGGAGAAGTTTCTGCTATCTCCTCCAAGGGATCTGCAAACAGAAAACACTGTTGTCGTGGTTTAACCACAGTTGGCAACTAAGTACCACACAGCCACTTGTTCACCCTTCCCCCCACCTCCTGCCCAGCCTCTCAGTGGGATGAGGGAGAGAACTGGGGAGAAAAAAAAGGAAAACCCATGAGTTGAGATAAAAGCAGTTTAACAGAACAGCGGAGGAAGAGAAAGTAATAGTAATAATAATAATAATGATAAAAGAATATACAAAACAAGTGATGCACAATGCAATTGCTCACCACCCGCTGACCGATACCCAGCCAGTCCCCGAGCAGCAATCGCTGCCCCCCCTGGCCAACTCCCCCCACTTTACATAGTGAGCAGGATGTCACATGGTATGGAATAGCCCTTTGGTCAGTTTGGGTCAGCTGTCCTCACAGCTTCTTGGGCACCTGGCAGAGCATGGGAAGCTAAAAAGTCCTTGACTAGCATAAACACTACTTAGCAACAAGTAAACCATCAGTGTGTTATCAACATTATTCTCATCCTAAATCCAAAACACAGCACTGTACCAGCTACTAGGAAGAAAATTAACTCTAACCCAGCTGAAACCAGGACAACTGTCCATGTCTCGTTTGGACTTGAATTGACTAATCAATGCACATGGTCAAGTATGAGTTTAGCTTTCGTAACTGTGATCTCAACTACTGGACAACTTTTGGCCAGAAACGTGAAACAATCTTGTAGCTGCAACTATAATCATTCATGTGGTTTTTGTGCTGCATCAGTGCCGCAGGAAGGATGCTCAACCTTTATACCCTGACAGTAAAAGACATAACTACATAGCATATGCTGCAGGGACACACATGATATCACATTAAAACAAAACTCATTGCTTATTACAACCTTGAAATTTTTAAATAGTGCAATTTTAATTATTTAATTTCATTTGTATAATTTACACTAATTTAGGCACAAGGACTTTGTGTTTCTACGATGAAATCAATTAATTGTATTTTGATTCAGAAGATGACAACATAACCCTTCTTTCTTCATACTTATGTAGAAAACAAACATCTGAACTATTAAGAGAGCAGTGGAATGTTTGCCTCCAAATCTTCTGTTAAAATTAATGAGAAAACTGTCCATCGGTATGTTATTTCAGTTATATAAATGCATGTAAAAAGATCTCACTTACTGCTGTATTTAACATCATGCATGCTGGTTTTTAATACATTCAAATGAGGAAGAGAGCAGTAATCTGGCATGTGACACTCCTCATGTTTAGAGTTACCCATATGCTTTAAATACTCCACGCACTGTGTCCAGAATCATTAACCACCCCAGATCATCTTAAAAGGCATGATCATATCAAATTCAAAAATAAATCCAAAATAAAATTTCACTGCGTTATGTTCATTCAGGACAAGGCAAATGTTTCAGTCCTGCACCTCTGCCAGAACAGAAGGAGTTTTCCATTTTAGGTGAGAAGGATAAGGAGAACAAACCCACCTACCACCACACTGGCTTGCCATATAAAGAGATCTCTGGTCACATCTCGCATAGCATGTTTTTGTGCTAAAATGGTTTCATTAATCTACTTGCATAATTCAAATGCTATGTTTGAACACTGACATGTGGCCTTTAACAGAAGTTTAAAGAGTTCAGTAGAAAACCACAGGAATGTTTAACATTTCAATAATACATCTGGTGTTAACTTCATGTGGGAGACTAACAGACAACTGAATTATGCAGCAAGCATAGCTACATTTTGCTGTTGTCTCAGAGTGGTTTATGATATCACCATAACTAAAATTAGAATGGCAATCCCATGATGCAACCAAGGCTCTTTGATCATTTACTTAAACAATTTTTGGACCTGCGTAGGTTGCTACTTCCTTTGTGCCAGTGTCACACTCAGGGCACCTTCTGTTCTTTACCTACTTACCTTCCCTAAAGCCCTTTTGCCATCCAGACCTGTATGAGTGGTTACATCTAACCATACATGGGCATAATTTCATGTCTAAGAAGTATATTTGTCTTCCTACATGCTAGATTACTATGTGGATTTCTATGACGCATATATGTTTACGACTGGAATATCGCAGTACTAGTCTGCTCACAACTACAGCTTGGATAACAGCCATCAGCAGTACTGAAGAACCACTGTTAAAACACAGCTTCCTTCCCTGTGCATTCTTGTTTAAATCTCAACTTGTGACATGTTCACCTGCCTTCAGACACTGGCACTTTGAAGGAGAGCTTGGCTGGGTATATCTCTTCTGTACTTTAAAAAGCATACCTCTGTCTGGGATGAGGAGCTTGCAGGGCAATGCCAGTGGAGTGATGGAATGCTGATACACCAGAGCTGTCAAACTCCCTGTGGTCAGAAGATTAACAAGACATGCACAGTTAACTTAAGTGTACAAGAAGAATGCTTAACAGTTATGTTGGCTCTCAAGTATTTTATAGACCGAGGGGCCACCCCCCGCTGACCTTTTAAAAAAGTTCTCTTGGCACCTAAGCCAAGACCTTCTTCAGTCAACTTTAGTGTATTCATGTTTCCCAGCATGTTTCCCAGTTGGCTGTACTTGAACTCATTAATCACAATCATACACTCCCTTACCCTGCTTAAACACACTGCTTAAATCCTAACCTAAATGGCTGTGCTTCAAATGGTTAAAGCACAAAAATAACAAAAACAGTAACATATGGAAGTCAGTAAATTCCTTTCAATGTTCTTCACTTCTGCTACATTAAATGTAGTGAAATCTTATGAAGATGGTAAGAGCACAAGGGGTCAGCGCTATGGGATGAGGCAGAGAAAGAGCGATTTCTGCCTCCTAGCCACCTAGTCTCCACTAGGAGACTACATACACCTTTATTTTGTGCTTCTAAAAGTATAAAAGATGGTCTAGATAAAAACTCCTCCATTCAATGTGGCATTGATGTACATAGCATTGTCTATTAAATTATTCTTCTATTCAGTCACTTTTGTCATTTGGACTTGGCTTAATTAAAATAATTAAACATTAGTCATCCTTGACATTAGCATGCGAGATTACACTCTAAGGAGTGAGAGGAAGGCGTAACATTCATCAGTCTGTTTGTACAAAAAGCCATCCTTCAATCCCATTTACTAGCAAACACTGAACACTATAATCATGTGCTTGAGAAAAATCACAGTTCAACCAAAACCAACCTTATTTTTACAGCCCATCAAAAATTTCTTTGAAATGGAAAGATGACCCAATTCTGCAAGGATCTCACAGAAATGCAAAGACCAATTGATACTATTAGTCCTTCACTGTCTTATCCATACAACTATGCGATAGTGCCTGCTCACCTACTTCGCTGAAGAAGTTTTGAGGCTGTATATATTGAAAGATTAGGAGATGCTCAAACTAAATGATTAATAGGGCTACACCTTTTCCATGAACACGTACTTCAAGATCACGGTAGGTCTTGGCTAAAAATTCTGATTTGAAATGTCTCATGCCAAACACTGACAAAATTCAACCCACCTTTACTTCAAATAGGATTTGTCATTTTACACTTGTTCATTTTATGGTAGATGACCCTTTCATGGGTGTATCGGGTGTATGTGACAAGGCTGGCAGCAGAGGGTGGGAAGGCTGCAGGGTGACCTCTGCGGGAAGAGGCCAGAGGCTGCCCCATGCCAGACACAGCTGGCCCCAGCAGACCCACTGCAGGGCACCACTGAGCCACAGGTGGGATGCGTATCTAAGAAAGGGCAGAAAAGGCCACACAGAGACAAGAAGGGAACAAAAAGGGTGAGGCACAGTCAGAGGAGGAGAAGGAGAAAAAGGAGCTCCAGGCACCCAAACTGACATCCCCCACCCTGCAGCCCATGGAGGACCTCACATTGGAGCAGGTGGACTTTTCCTAAAGGAACTGTGGCCCTTGGAGAGTGCATGCTGGAGCAGATTTTTTTCCTGAAGGATGGCGGCCCATGGGGAGGGAGAGGGATGGAGCAGCAGCGAGGAACTGTTCTGTAATGACCATACACCCTCCACCCACTTTTGCACTGCCTGAGGTGGGGGTGAGGAGTCTTGGGGGAAGCAGTGAAGTTGAACTTGGGAAAGGGGAATGAAAAGTGTTATTCTAATGTTTATCTTTGTTCCTCACTACCTGAATTACTGATTTTAATTGGCAAAAAATTAAATTAATTTTCCCCAAGTGGAGTCTCTTTTGCTCATGGTAGCAACTGGTTAGCAACCTCCCTGTCTTTATCTCAACAGATGAGCCTACTCATCCTATTTTCCCCTCGTGCCTCACTGAGGAGGGCAAATGAGTGAGCAGCTAGGTAGGTATTTGGCTGTTTGCCACAACAGGCAATGCGCTTTCATCATATCACATTAGGTAGGCTGATGCAGCATAATGTACTTTGTGAATGTCCTACTCCAGTGTCATTTTAGCCAGCTAGTATACAGTATAAATACAGCACAGGACAAAATAAGGCAAAAGTCCTGATCAGTAAGGCCCGTAACAGTCATTCAGCTCAGCTGTCTGCAACAGCATTGGTAGTGGTAGACAAACCTGACCGCTTGAAGCTTGGTCACGTGCATCTGTGCTAGAGTGTCCTGCACATATACTTAAGGTAAATGTGTACAAGGTTCCTATAACCTTAGAATGGGTTCCTACAGGAATCATCAGAACTTGAACAAAGTATTCTCTCATTTGCACTCCATCCAAGTCTATAAAACAGCTCTGGCAAATGCAAACTGTTTCCATTTCCTGTGCCCCTGTGATGCACAGTTACTTACCAAAATATGGTTCATTTGGGCATCCTTTCAAGCGCACCCCCTTGTGAGTGCATTCAATCAGAAAATGCCTTACAAGTTCATTTGACAAATCTCCAACTGTGTTGAAGAAGAAAAAGAAAGCTCATGAAGAGAAGCAATAAACTGACAACAGTCTCACAAATTAGCAGGTCTTTATGAAGCAGTTTTCCACATTATCACCAAATGTTTTATATACAGCATGCAAAGAATACATTAGACCTGCTCCACTGCAAGACTACAAGCTGTAGTAAAAAGGCCATTTTGCAAAAAACAAACAAGCAAATAGCTCACTTTAGACAGAAAAAGGTTTTATGATTGTGACTGACACCCAAATATACACTGGTGTCCAAAATGTCCAAGCATGGTCCCAACTACAGACAGGAACAGAAATCTGGAAAACTAATGGTTAGCAATTTTGATGCACTTGCCCATTAGAAGAACTTGTATCCAATGTGACAAGGGAGTAGAAGTATGATAAAATACTCAGATTTCTAGTGACAGTTCTGCTCGCAGAACTTTTCCAGATTAAAACAATAGAAGATTTAGCTACACAAAGGTAATGATACCAAGTCTCTCAGTGAATTTTTAAGTTTTAAAGTGTTTGCAGTTTTATGCTAAGTCTTTACTCCTGAAAACAAACAATTACATGAAACACTCAGGCTTCACTAGATTTTTAAAGACAGTTTTTATCTCTCAGGAATCTAGAACAAATTGAAATTGTAAAATTGGATGTAATGAGGAGATTCAAAGTCCAAGAGGCATATAAAAACTCCCTCGAGATTTAGCATTCTTTTAAATATATACATACATATGCACACATATAATTAAGACAACTTCATTATTTCTTCAAAGACTGGTTCATAGTATTTCACACTAGACTACAAACTGAACCTCTCTCCAAGTAATTAAAGGGTTATTTCATAGCAACGGGACAAAACTACCCCACCATTCAAAACTTAACAAAAGAGCCACAAACACAAATGCTCCCTTTGACTCTGATCTATCAGCCACAGTCCAGGAAACACATGACATCAAGGGTTGACTTTCAGGCTAATACAGATGAACACATTAATCTGGGCAGCAGAAACTTCTATGCAAGCAAATAATGCAAAGATGACCTTTTCAAATGGCTTACTGTTTGCCACTACGCTCTCACAGTATTAAAAATAAATGCCTACAAGGGTATTTGGGAAGGGGAAGCCTGGAACAAGAAACCCTGCAGGAGACTGAACAAATTTGTGCCTTCAGGGATGAAACAGTGGGAACCAAAAAAGCTAAGAGAAGTGGAAGAATGTTGCAGTCTCAACTAAAGTTTTCGCTTACTACCACTTGCCTGTGGTACAACTAACATAAACTGGCTCTTAAAGGCTAGTGGAGTTTGAACTTTCATGTACTCCTGGACCTCGTTGGTCTGATGATAAAAAAAGATTATTAAAAACACATACAGCCACTCTTCATTTGCCTCTTTGTTGTTGGTATTACCACCCTAGCGCGTCCCTGCTGTCTTCATTAAATAAGACATTGCAGTGGTTCTGCTGACATTTCTTGGCCATAAAAAGAAGGATTACACGGCAAATTTTTATTAGAAATTGTCTCAAGATACCAGATTAGGAGTATAGAATTTAAGTGTGTTATTGTAGTAGAGGACTGCTAACCTTGCCCCAGAGTAAGCATGAAATCTTAAAAAAACCCCCACCCAACAGCCAATCAACCAACCCAAACCAGACAAAACCACACTTCCATAGCCATGACACTAAGAATCACTGCTTTCCTGTGATCTCAGTTGCTTACTTCACCAGGCAGCATGTACTAATGAAACATAATAAGCTTTGTAAAAGGAAAACAGCAGCAATGTAAACCACCCCACTACCCTTGCAGTAGCACAAATGGAGCCAGAACATTACAGATACTGGCTGCTGAGTTTCCATACATTGATTAATGCTTTCCATATGTTCTTCTCATTTTGCCTTTCACAACTATCAGGCACAAGTTATACATGGAGGCACTGGAGCTGGAAGAGTAGGTGTATTTCATCACTTCTTTTAAACAACTATCATCTTTCCTTAGGGAATCTTCTCAGATTTATATCTAATGTAGAACTGACTCAAAATAAAACCTTGGGGTCAAAAATATTCAGCCTTCCAGACAAGCAAAAGTGTTATATGGTGGTATGTGGATCAAATGCAGACTTCTGATTGCTAGGGAGGACCCATTACTGAGACGACACTGATGTTCTATTAGGTTGGTTAGGTACAATACATGCACAGCCACAATGAACATATATTTACAAGCCACAGTGAAACTGTAAAGTACAACAGACATCTTATCCAGTCTCATTTAACAAGGTACCAAATGGAGCCTGCAGTTCAAGTTGCACTTACTAGAAGGGGGGAGGTTCCTCCAGATCATTACCCAGTAATAAGGGCTTCCTACTATGCATGGCTTGTTAAATAATAGATAGAAGGCATACAGTACCTTTCTTGTTTAACTGCAGCACAGAAGGAGGTGGTGTAGCAACTTTCATTGCTAGCCCATAGGCTCCCCGGAAAGAATGACTGTCTCGAACAATGAATGACCCAGGTTCCTTGTCCTTGAGAACAGCAATGGCTGCAAGGGATTCCAGGAAAGAGAGAGAAAAACAGTTCTAGAACAATGCACACACCAAAAAGTACAGAAGTGCAAAACTATAATAGGAGACTAAATGAAATAAGATCCTTTCCTCTGTCTGCATTGCTGTAGAACAGAATATAATCAAGCATATTTGGGGTATCTGAGTGGAAATACCTTGTGCAAATCTCAGACATTTATTTCAAGAGAAGCCTGAAGTACAGATCCCTACTGATTTTCAAACTGAGAAGGATGTGCAGGTCCCACCAGGATTCCTACAACCAGTGCGAGAGCAAGTTGTTTCCTGCTTACATTTTGTGAACTTGCTAGAAGTACGACAGAGCGCATAGCTCGCTCTAATTCCCAGGCTAACTAGACAGCACTGTTTTTCTTTCCCT